GCAACCCCAGTAATACCATGGTCTTGAAATGCTGAATGGGTTCCCTCATCATACATCATACAATTTACTGCACTGGAATTTTTTTACCATATTAGTCTTGTTCTCATAACACACATAACTCAGTTATCCACTGATCCAGTCAAGTTTTCTTACTGGTGGTTTTGACAGCGCAAGATCATGCTAAAAATCACCAATTCTGGAGTTACTGGAGCTTCACCCGCTAGTGATAAAAAGTCCATGAACTCATGCAACCTATTGGTCAGGTAAGCAGCAACGGGTGTGAAAGAGAAAGGGGTGGGGGAAGAGAAAAAAAATCAGCAGCAATCCAAGCACCAGTCCAGAGGAAGAGTTACAACCCCCTTCACTCCCCTTTCTCTTCAGATGACCTCTCTTCCAGCAATTACCAACTCATGCCTCCAGTCCCCGCCCAGGACTCTCTTTACCCTGATTGTCAGGCCAGCCTCCTGAAAAATGGCTTAGAAAGAAATAAAAGCCCCCCGTGTGTTTTGCTAAGAAAACAAGTGTATAATGAAGGAGAAAAGCAACAACATAGAGAACAGCTGTTCCCACCATAACATGACAAGGCCAACAGGCTTAAGTTTGCAACTTATTGTAAACTGGTAAATGCATGTTTAAAGCTAATAATATAACATAATGGTAGCAATATATTGCTTCACCTATAACTCTTTTAAAATATCTGCTATACCCAAACGTAAGTAAGTAAAGGAGGAAGCTTCCAGGAAAAAGGCTGTGGCTACTCTCTTGTAGTATCCTAATCTACAAGAGAGGATAGCCATGCAGATTTCAAGTTAATACCATATGACCATGAAGTGCATCATGATAATACATTAAAGACATGTCATGTCCATCTCTTGATCAAGATCCAAAGATGGTATGAGGACAATAGTTTATATCCAAACAATTCTGTGTAGGCATCAAAATTTTACTTTTTAATTCTAACTATAAGCCTCTCAGGCTAAGAAAGCCTTTCTAACTTCTAGGAATACTGCACATAAGGGTTATAATACAAAGAATAGATGCACAGTCCATATAGTAATCTTTCATCAACAATAGTTGATCAAATGCTTTCAAGAAATCCAAAACAGGACAAGAATAGATGCACAGTCCATATAGTAATCTTTCATCAACAATAGTTGATCAAATGCTTTCAAGAAATCCAAAACAGGACAAGAATAGATGCACAGTCCATATAGTAATCTTTCATCAACAATAGTTGATCAAATGCTTTCAAGAAATCCAAAACAGGACATCAATTGCCCCCTTCATTACTTCTCATCTAGGAAGGGACTGGCTTTAGACACTCAACCACTGGATAACGAAGATACTTTGCAAAGCTTCTTGGGTGATGTTTTTAGCTTTGTTTAAAGCTCTGTAATACTTTACCAAGTAGACCATATCACTGTGCATTTCTTGTCTTCAGAAGAGGAAAAGTCACTCCATTTATTAGACAAATGTGTTTCAAACCTCAAATAGTCAAGAGAGATAGTAGATAGGCTTTAAATAAAATAAGGTTTGTACCTTTTGAATTTTTCCAATCAATTTTTATAGCAAGTTAAATCCCTCCATTTACTTTTCAAAATTCATACAATAGCAATATAATTATATAAATTATGCAATCCTCTTTAAAAACATATTTGCCTGGCAAAGTGCTTAACAAAATTGCCTCAGAATACATCAGATGTTAGCATACAGCAATAACAACTCAATCACTCTCTGGAGAAAAATCATCTAATGAATGAATTTGGAAATAAGACAAGATGAGAGACACTATGAACACTTCCTTGGCATAAACTATTAGGACTATATGATCCGGGAGTGCATATTTCATATAAAGAGAGCCAGTTTGATCTAGTGGGTTAAGGCACCAAACTAAAAAGCAGGAGACTATGAGTTCTAGTCCCGCCTTAGGCATGAAAGCCGGCTCGGTGACTTTGGACCAGTCACTCTCTCTCAGCCCAACTCAGCTCACAGGATTGTTGTTGTGGGGAAAATAGGAGACGGAAGGAATATTAGGTATGTTTGCCGCCTTGAGTTATTTATAAAAATAATAAAGGTGGGATAAAAAAAAATCTTAAAGAAAAATCTAAACAAAATGTAGCTAATCAAGCCAAAATCAATATACAATTCTATTAAAGCAATGAATAAGGAGGAAAAATATTTGTCCTCCTAGAAACAAACCATATTATAAGTTCAGCCAGACAGCATAATTTTCTATGTGATAATTTTGTCACAAGACAGGAGCGGATTATCAGAGCAAGCAGACCAGTATATAGCAAATACTGTACTGTAGATTCCATGTTTTACAATGCTGAGAAAGTTATTTCTTATATAGCATTTACATACAGTATTAAGCAATAAATTACATGTAGCTCTAGTTCTGGGATAGAAGACTTGTAACCTTTCAATTATTGACTCTTAGTTCCTCATCATGGTTTAACACATATACTTTAAGTCAATAATCTGCCTAATATGGTAAACAAAGTATTCCAAGTTTGTTAAGAATAACATCCTTAAGGAGCCCTTAAACACAAAACTGTTGGTGCCAGCGTTGGTGCCACATCTAAAGAACAACTTTAAGCCAAACCGCTTGGGTATGGCTCTGTATGATTTCTAATTCCCCGTTATTGCTAGGCCATGAATATAGGGTATAGGGAATATAGGGTATGGAGTTAGCCTGGAACCAGGAATAAAGTTTAAACAGTAATCAGATTATGGGGCAAATCAGAACCACCAGATGACCAAAAGCACAAGATCCACAAAAGGTCAACAGATCTTGATGTTCAAAGAAAGTTCTAAAGAAACAGGAAGCTCACTTACACTTCTTCCTGCTTGGACATCCCATCTTTTAAAGCTGTCTTCCTTAAAAGAATGAGATTGCTATGTGGCAAAGTTGCTGTTTTTCCGCACCACTACTGGTCATGCAAATTTAATAAATTTCTCTTATCATTCTATTATTTATACACCCGCCCAATAGTGGTGGGGGCAAAAGAACAACTCCCTTGCCACATTGGGCAGCTAACCAGGGCAGCTAACATCAATCATAAACAATACAAATATAAAAAAAAAATTAAAATCCAGGCATTAATTCCTAAAATAATTGCAGTCCCAGGAATGCTTTCTACTTATACTACCAAATTTCAGAGAAACAATTACAGAAAATCTGAAGCATGTTTGAGGAAAGTAACAAATGAAGCAATGTAGTGTAAGTAGTATAGTGTAGGTTGATCACAGTTTAAAAAAAAATAAACTCAACCTATATAATGTGCCTTACTTGCATCACTGCCTATCATCTTTATATCCTCACCTCTCCCCTAGAAAAATATTAAGTGTGGTTCCAAGAAAAAAAAGGTGCTCACCCATTTTATGTATTTACACATTATTACCACTCCTTCTGAAATCTTACATAGACAGATATATAATGCCAAAAGTCTTCCTTCCTTTCACAAATACAATAATTACACATGACCTAATCCTACAGACTTTGAGAAAATTAGGGAAAAAAAGAGGTAACATTAAGAATGTTACCTTTTGTAAGGAAAAATTCATACTTCTGCCAACTGAGGACATGTGCAATGTTCTTAATGTGTTGGCAGAATGCTAATTTTACGGGGGGGGGAAGGGTTCCATAAATAATTGAAAAACAATATATAAATGTTACTTTTGATTTTTTTTATCTTCAATTTTTAAGCCTAATGTCTATACTAATATAACTAGAGCTGTACTAGTTTTTGGGGTGTTTGAACATACAGAAAATATATCACTTGGAGATTTAATTAAAATATATGGTGGCAGAAATGAGAATATATAGTGGCAGGAATGAGAATATAAGCTAACCTTTCCATATGAAATAAATTATTTTTATCATTAAGCAGATTAATAATAAATTAGAGAATACACATAAATCTAACTATACCAACAACCCAATCCAAATGTCTGCCAAAATTCTTAAGACTGCTTTAACTTTTAATTCTTGAGAATGGTTCTACAACAGTCAAAACATTAAGTCAGCACATTAAATGTGAAGAAAAGCACCCTTCAGTTTTTAAAGTTAAGAAAGACATGACACATATGTACATGTCAGTTTCTTCTTTCACATGGGATGGGTATATGTCACTTTAAAAAATAAAAATGACTATCATTCTGAATTGTACGAACCACATTATGAAAAAGAGTTTGTGGTCCTTCAATTTTATTAGTCAATTAATGGAAAGTATGAGCATCAGGGAGGTTCATTTAAGACAGAAAAGGGTTTAAGAAGAAGGAATTATATCTTCCTCCCCAAATAATTCCGATTTAAGCCTATCCTGCCCTGGATACATTTATGTGTCCAAAATCAGTTGGCTACTCTAATCAAATTAATCCATGTCTTTTATAACTTGGTCTGGAATGTATCCAAAAGAGGTTATTGAATTGGCCTCCTGTTCAGATTTGCTCACTGTAGTATTTTAGAGGGATTTCATCACAACTTTTTCCAAACTCCCAAGACAACTGAATTCCTTGAACCCTTCACCAGTCACTTGAGTGGTTCAGCAACCTTTTCTTTCTTAAATACAGCATTGTCTTTGATTACACAGTCAAGCTCCTTGAACTCTGGAACTCACAAAAGGGGTCTGCATGTTTTTCTTCCTGGTTTCTATAAGATTTTATAGAGATGACATATATTTTTGTTCTGTTCTGGTTACTATTTATGGTAATGCTTTTTAAAAATCACACCCGCTAATCACATTGTTGAATGGGGGGAGGGGAAAGGGAGGACTACTTTCCAATCTATTGTGTCATAAGCTTAAAAATACATTCACATTACCATTCCTACCAAAATTCTAGATCAGTCATGCAGATGTATTTGAACTACAAAACCCATAACCAAATCCCAGTATTAGTTGAGCATAGTAGAAATGATAGGTTGTAAAACTGGAGAAGGCTTCTCTAGATAATATTTTAATTCAATCTTATCTTAATCAGAGAAGAACCAGACTTACTTCATAGCTGGAGAAGAGCCGGACACCTTCCATTTGATGGAAGACTGGATAATGGGTGCTATCAACCTGATCACGACGATAAACATCTCCCACAACCAAAAATGCATCAAGTCCAGCATGTATCAAGTCCCACTGGTGGGCAGATGTGTGAGCTCTTAGCATGTGAGTATGATTCAAGTAGTAGTTATCCCCTTTCTTCCTACTAGGATGGCCTTGTGGAATAAGCAGTCTATCAAAGTTTTGTTCTACTGTGACCACTGGAGACATATCATCGTACACTGAAAACAGTGGGGTCCGAGAACGTCCCAAGTACTGCTTGTAGAAATGGTTTTTCACACGCTCCTTAATCAACCACAAAGGATGATTTCTTTGGTTGTGCAAATTTATCCCCACCTTGGAAAGAATTTTCTTGGTAACATTGCCGTAGTTATCTGAGAAATAAGTCTGGCCAAGAAGTTCCACTGTATTTGCAGAGAGGGCTCTGGCAGCAAAATCTGAAGATATATTTTTGTAGCAGGCATGGCTAAAACTGGCAGCTCTTTTTATCTGAAGTCCCCATGGTAAAACCACTTTGATGCAATGGATCATTTGTATTACATTTCTGGATGCAGCCATTAGAATGTCCTTCATGTGCTGGTAGGGGAAAATCAAACACAGTAATTATTATTCCCTGCAATATAGAAAATGAAAATCTCCAGAAAAAAGAAGAAAAAAAAGTATTTTCTATAAAATACCTAATCTTTAGCTCATTCAGCCCCAAAGGAAAGTTTATGAAACAATTCTACTACAATTGGTACATTATCATAAAATTATTCATGCTTTGGGATTCTGGTATTTTTCCCCAGGTATACTACTGCTGATAAAGACTAGCAATATAATCCTAGACATGGTTGCTCATAAGAAATTTCAACAAACTTACTTCCAAACAACTGTGTTTACAATTGCAATCTAAACTGATGAACCAGAAACTCCTGTTTCAAGCTTTGCCTTTCATACAATTTCATTAGTGCCAGGGGGACTGCAGTGTTAATGTAATTTCATGTGATCCTTGGGACATCACATAATTTCATGTGGCCTTAAAATATGACTTAATGCATTTGTGAACACTAAGCAAGATTAATTCAACTCCAAAGAAACATGTTTGGACATCTACTAAGATCCACATTCCTGCAAAGCTTCTTTGCCATTTTTTGGTGCCTCCTTGTCAAGTCTGCAAACAGTTATGTTTTGCAATATTCCATATTGAGATTTTTCTCAAGAAACTAAAGCTAGCAAAAATTGCATCAGCCATCTTACTGTATTTCCTAAACTGATCTTGTCTACATGGACTACTTATATTTTTTTAAAAAACCTTTGCATATTGACATTTTAGACTCATACCCCTGAAAGATTTTTTTTCTCTCTTTCCTGTCCAAAATGCTTAATATACAAAACTGAAATGTTAGGAAAAATGCTAGCAAAGCAAGTCTGCCTGCTTTTTGTGATTTGATCAACTTTTATATGAGGAGAGAATTTCTACTAGTATAACAAATGTTAAAAACAAAATAATAAAGATATGATAAATGTACTAAAACTGGGCACTTACCAAGCTGCTTAGCAACTTAACTATATACTCTTTTTAGCACAGAAATGTGTGTGGGTGTAATGCTGTAAATATTATTGTCAATGCTATATTAGATTGTCTAAATCAGTATTCCACCAGCTAGTGCTCTCTAAATATATTGGGCTGCAAATTCCCACCATCCCAGGCAAAACTAGAATTGTTGTTTAAGAAATTCAGAGGATGCAACTTTGAGGAAAACCGGTTTAAGTCTGAAATATAAAGCAGGACTATGTAACAAATTATTTATGAGTCATGTGCAGCCCTCTAAGACTTGCCAAATTTCTGAAAATCTCAGCATCATAAAAACTGACATTCTTAAGAAACCATACATTTACATTAACAATTACCACCAAGTTATTTCTGGGAAAATAGACTGGTTTATTTTCCCAAAAGAGAGCCTTCCAAAAGAGTTGTCACTGCAATAGCACTACGTTCTATGCTACATTCTTAACATTTTAAATCATAAACTACACAGAAATTGGTACTCTTAGGAGATGTAATGCACACATAAGAAAAGCCCAATGGAATCATGCCAAAAATCATACTGGATAGAAATCCTGGAATTTGTAGTCAAAACACATCTGGAACCACCAGGTTGGGAAGTTTGGTCTATCCACTCCAACATTCTCTTTCCACGGTTGCCAATCAGATGGCTGCGAGAAGTTCCCAAACCCACAAAAGAGAAGTTTCCCACTCCTATTCACCACAATTGTCTGGAGGTATATCTAATCCATAAGATAATATATAGCAGTAACCACTGACAGCTTTTCCTGTGGGTATTTGTTGAACCTTGCAGTAAAGCAGTCCTAGTTGGAAGACATGAGATTACTGCATCTTGTGGTACATTGTGTAAGAATTAGATCTGGCAAGAAGAAAGAGGCAGAAGAATCGAACGTAGTTTCCACTAATAATGCTTGCATCTTACCCTTGACAACTGTTTGATTTCCTCTTAACAGTGGAACTTTTTTAGTTCGTGCAATAAACATACTTGTCAGAGAGTTGCATTCTTGAGCACTACCTGAGCAGTTTCTATTTCTTCTCTTGGACAGAAGACTGATACATCCTGTATGAGAAAAAGACTTCTCCTATCCAGTACATTTTGCTTCCTGTGGCAGAACAGGGTTTATTTGGTCAGAAACACCACAATTTCTTCTACATTTATAATAGGGATGAGTAAATATACTTTAAAATCTCATCCCCACCACACCAAAATGGTAAACTTTGGGTTCTTAAATAGAAATTATATTCTCCCTTAGAATTTATTTTCTTGGGCATGGGGGGGGGGCAATAACATATGTTAAAAAATATATCATCTCTCTCATATCTTCCTTTCTACTTTTTAGGCAACATCCCAGTCCCTCATTGCTGTATGTTTTCCTTCTGTTCCATCATTATTTTGCTTGACATTTATACTGATATATTTTGAAACAAGGCCAAGGAAGGCAAACTTGCTTGATGCAAATGCATTGTAACCGAAAAGCTGAGATAAGGGGAAGCAAAGCAAGAAAACACATCGCTGCTTCCATCTAAATTATGTAAAGGGACCAAAGTATAGAACTGATGATGGTCTGAGTGACAGGTAATACCGATCAATCCTGACAAGATAGATGGATCGCCTGTCCAAGAAGATTGTGTTCAACCTATTCTAGAATACAGGTAGTCCCTAGTTTAGGAGCACCCAAGTTACAGACAACCCATAGTTAAGAACAGAGCCTACTGTAGCAAACTTCAAGTTAAATACACAATGGTTCAAGTTCATTACCCAATACTACTTATACAGTATTATGCAACACTGTATTATGCAATAATACTGTTCCGGCATATATACAAACTCAACTTAAGGACAGACCTTGGGAACGGAACTCGTTCTTAAACTGGGGACTACCTGTATTTCAATTCCTCCTAATGGATCAAAGTTCATAATATGCAATGGCCCAAATCTAGCTTCATGCTGTGACTATGTTTTCTGAAGCAGTGACTTCTACAGTTTACCTGAGGCTAATTTACTTGGCCAGAACTTGGCCTGTTTGGTCAGCTTAATCCACTGTTTGTCACTGCTTGTAGTCAATTTCCAAACCTATTCAATGTATTAATGCTTGCTTTTAAAGCTCTACACCAGTGTTTCTCAACCTTGGCCACTTTAAGATGTGTGGACTTCAACTCCCAGAATTCCCAGCCACCCATGCTCTACACAATCTGGGAAATGATAAGCTAAAGGGATACCTATCCCCATATTAAATGTTCTGCGCACTGAAATAATCTGCTTTTCTCTGTATGCCATGTGATATTATGAATGACAGAAAAATAGAGAGGCAACCTTCCCTTTGTACTGATTATATCAAATTTATAGGGCTCCTTCTGGGGGACGATCAGCTGGTTGCTACTTGTTTATTAATGCCAGACCTTTTCACTCTTCCAGAAGTAAAAAGGTATTTGTTTTGGCTTTTTGGCTTTTGCGTGTTTTAAGTCTGAACTTGTTTTAACTGCTGGGGATGTTTAATTATCATAATATCATATTCTATTTTACTGATTTTATTGTAAACCAGCCTGAGTACTATTTTTAAAGTTCGGTTTTTTTAAAAAAAAGTATCAAAATGATAACTGCCTTAAGAAAAGTCAAGCCAAAATGGGTTTAAACTCTTGTCCTATTAAGAAAAAAAACCTGTTTCTTTTTAAAAAATTTATTTTAATAAATTTAGAATTTGGATCAAAGATTCCCCTATTATTGAAAGGTGAGGCTATCATATAGTGTTCCAGAGGACCATTAGCTGTCAGCAAAGGATTACAGCTGTCAACAGATAAAACTCTAGCTTTTTGCAGCCCAGATATGAAAATCCTAAGAAATGAGACAACCTCCTTTGCAGGTCAGAAATTATCTACTTATTGAAAGTGAAACAGATGGTGGGCAAAATAAAATTCCTTTCAATGGCAGCCCATTGGATGGGAGGTATGGCCAGGTTTGGAGGTAGCCTACAGTCACTGAAGAGGAACTCTGCCAAAGAATTCAGTCATGCTAGCACACAATTGTACAGGCTGAAATCAACCACAGACCAAGATCTTTCTACCTACGGCCTTCCAATGACAGGGCAAGGATAGGCCAGATCCTGCTTTATATCTTCAGTTCTAAAATCTTTCTTTCCTCCCCACAGGGACTGGAACCAGCATAGATAATTCCCACATTCATTTCAAAACAGAAAAAAATGCAAAAAAAAATCCATCAATCTGACAAACATCCTGCACTCACTAGCTTAAATTACCCAGATGTTGGGAACGATGGGCATTCCGCCATTGCCTAGTTAAAACTGTATTCCAATCACAAAAATACATAGTTATTGGCTAGTATTTCATGACCTTAAGGAGAATCCCAGCTGCAATCAGGTCCTCAAGACATATGTAAACTTTGTGCAAGCTATGATTCAGATTTATTAAGTTATGCAAATGAGCCATAATGCTCCAACTCATTAAAATTTAATATCTGGAAATGAGCAAATGATAACACTTTGATATAAGCTACATTTATGAAACCCAGATAACCACCTCTTTTTTCATGTGTTCAAGAAAATTAGGGATTTTTTAATTTAAGTACAGTACTCATTTTATTATATGCCCATTTCAGTTGCAGTTCTGCTAAGCTTCTTTCCAGTTTATTTGGGAAAAATCTGCAAATCACCCAAGATATGCCAAAATGATGTATTTACTTAATATCCTTAGGCACAAAATAGGATAACATGGCTGTGAAGAATTTGGGAGGGGAGAGGAGTTGTCCATAAAGTCAGTACTAACAGCCCCTTAAGAATTTTGACAGTACCAAGTTTGCCAAGCATACATAAATTATGTCTTCCTGCAATTTCTTTAGTGAGTCAAAACTGCATGCTAGTATACTGCCAAACTAATATGTTGCCAGCTTTGAAGCTGCAGCAAGTTATTCGGGTCAAAGTCACTGACAGTACAAGGTATGTTATAAACATTTAAAAAGGGAAAACAGGGATCATCATTTTTTTCTGCTTTAATCTTTCTAAAAAAGGTTTGC